TTGGTGAATACAACGTCCTTCAATTTTTGAGCAGACAAAATGGCTACGGCGATTGCGCCTGAGATGGATTAGTACAAGCAAAAATATCTGCAGTGCGGCCACCGACATGTGTTTATAATTTACCAGTGGCCCGCCCTCGCTTCGCTTCGGTTTAGAGCTTTATTATAGACTATAGTTTTTATTATCAGGCTTGTATTATACACAACGACTTTTCTATGATTCTATATAATTACATCTAACGCTGACGCTATGACCAGTTGGAGCGGTACATCGATGAAAAATGTTGCAAAAACGAGTAAAAATATTCAATTTATGAGCTGCTATTGCGTGTGCTGCGTAAGCGGTTAAAGTTAAATAAAAATCAAGTATCATGATCAAATCAATATCAAACTATTGCATCACTTTCAGCCTCCCAGTGTGTATTCGACGTAATTTGACAATTTTTTTGTGTGTTCTTGATAAAAATAACCTTAATATATCAATAATAGCAGTATTTGTTAAATATAATGTTCTTGTTCTCCTTTCATTTTAATTAATGTTAAACGATATGGTATAAATGTTGTGTATATCTACGAGTATAATTGGCAAACATATGTAAACAGTAAAATCATTCTTTATATATTACGAATGTCTTGTATGTTATGCTGTTGATGTACCTATAAATAAATAAATGTATGAAATAAAAGTTTTCCTTTAAAAGTCCTATAAAAAAGTCCGCGACAGCATATATTATATAAGCATAAGTTTGACTCACTATAACCTTTTTCCAAAATTACGCGGGTAAAACCGAAGGGGACCTCTAATTGTGACATAACTGTAATAGTCAGACATATAGTATGCTGGACCTTTTTCTAGGTATTGATGTCCTCTATAAAAAGTTAGTATATCACTTTGTTCTTTTGTCAATGACTTTCGCAGCGTACGAGATAGAAAGTTATTTATTGGTATATTTTTCACACATTGGGTCACATAATTGACTTTAAACCTAACTTGACTTTTAACCTCAACCCTAACTTTTTAGAAAATATTCTATAGTCTATGTTTATTAGGAATAATGTAGGATTCTAAATCTGAAAGAATTTTTGAAATCGTTTCAGTAGTTTCGGACCCCATTCAATACAAAAAATAAAATCTTTCCTTTGTAATAATACTAGCATAGATAACTTTGTTTTCACAAAATCGCCGTCGCGTCGCAGTCGTCGTACCAGTGCGGCCTCGGCCTTACATTTTAATTATAATCCACAAATGTTGCTTTCTTTCTTAAATAAGTAACATATTAAAATATCTGAAATTCGTTTACCAAATTCACCCTAATTGTTGTAATAAAATTAATACTTAAAATATAATGCTCAGTTCACCTTTGTAATTATAAAAGTCTTTAGTCCTAATAACATTACTATGAGTACTACTCTCCCGAGTATTTTTCAATAAATAGAAGCATTTTCCTCAATAAATGCCCTGCACCCCTGTGAAATCATCATCATCATCATCTCAGCCGTACGACGCCCACTGCTGAGCATAGGCCTCCCCCAAGGATCTTCACATCGACCGGTCCTGTACCACGCGCATCCATCGACTTCCCGCGATCTTCACCAGATCGTCAGTCCATCTGGTAGGGGGCCTTCCCACCGAGTGACGTCCCCTGTGAAATAAAAAACACTAAAGGTTTACAAATAACAACACTATAGAAGAGATTTTTTTCGTTACAAGCATGTTTACTCGCAAAATATTAAAAAAAAACAGGCCAAGTGCGAATCAGACTCGCGCACGAAAGGTTCATTGTCTGTTTTATCACAACTAGAGTACATTTTTGATCGGCGTTTTCAGTATTCGTTATTACATATTATGGGACATCATATACCAAAATCTCACATTCTTAATTAATTTCGATTTTGAGATAGACCCCGTAACAAAAATGGTCTAAAATGTCAATTTTGACGGCCCCCGTTTCCTTGTTATTGAAAAATTATGTATCATTTGCAAGCGTAAAAAAGAGAAAGAAAATTGCTCTTTCTTAATGTATGGGGTCCATGAAAAACATTTTAATTGAATTTTTACCTAAATATATGGGCAATCATTGTACATAAAATAAAATTTCAGTTCTCTAACTTATTCCATTTACGATATATAGACACACAGATGACGGAGTGGCGGCAAAAGGGTTCCGACTTTACCTTCTTTACCCTTAGGGCATGACAACCTTTTTTTTGTGTCTGGGAAATGCATTACGCATCCTTCAACAGCCAGCCCTGTGGCCGGATGAAATAAACAGGGCCCCACCTAACGCCCTGAACAGGGCCACTAAAAACCAGACAATACTCCTGCACCTTCACCCGAAACGCACTATGAGCACCGCGGTCATCCTAGTGCGTGCCGAGATACGGGGGTGGTCGCGACTCCCGTTTCCGAATCATCACAACACCCTAGAAAATGAATGTAATCATGAAATAAACTCAATGATAATAACATTCCCATAACAATGGCAGAAAACTGATAATTCTGTATTTAATTGTAAACAATAAACAATGTTGTGCAAATGATATGATTATCTTATCTTAACCAGACAGCAGCGCGTCTATTGTAGCGATAAATTACGCAATGTCTCTTTATACTCTATAAAAATAAATAAAATAAATAATATTTTTTTCCAACGCTCACACCAATTAGCCTGGCCCCAAAGTATTAGGCTTGTGTTATGGGATGCTAGGGTAACGGATAGGATACATACATTTACTGTACATAAATAAGTATATTTATATAGGAATACATAATAAACCTGACTGAAGTACAAATTCTCGTATTCATCACACATCTGTCCCCAACGGGATTCGAACTACCATGAAACTCGGCCTACAAACCACTCGGCCACGGAGATCGTCGAATAATAATTAATCTCAGTAATTAAGGAACTCATGATTATTTTTTTATTAAGATCCATTTGCACCAAGGTTCTCTAGTGGATTAAGTCTCACTCCATATCTTTTGAATTCAAATAGTTGTCATGAATTGTCTTTTCAAGAGTTGACTCTACTAACAATGTGAACTTCACTATAAAACTTATTGTATAATATAACTTTATTTTGAATTATGTATTGGAATGGAAGGAGACTTCATGAAAAAATCTGTGAAGTAATTTTTCGACTTGACGACACTGTGTATAAATACATGATGTTACAAAAATACAAATAAAGCTTGAAGGGCGTTGAAGTACATCATATAAGGAGTCTTCGCTAATTTTCTTAAAATTTTTGCATGAAGTTTTAACTTTTTATAAAAACAGTTATTTTTAATGTTTAATAAAAATATCGATCATTTTAAGACACGTCACTAGTACGAGAATCATTAAAAACAACTGTTTTTATAAAAAGTTAAAACTTCATGCAAAAATTTTAAGAAAATTAAAGATGACTCCTTATATAATGTACTTCATCCCCCTTCAAGCTTTATTTGTATTTTTGTAACACCCTGTATATATGTACAATGAGAAAACCCTCGTTAATAATAAATAATAATAATAATCTTTATTCTTTACTAATAGATACGCCCAACCAGTAAATTGGCAATACAGTATTTAGATAAACTTACTTCAGTTATGTTTTTATTTATTTTTAAGCATTTAACTGCTAGATGTTTAAATCTAAAGAAAAGTTTACTAGAAAAAAAATTGACATTGTGGGTTACCTACAATGCGAAGAGATGGCGCTGCCTTGCAGCTTAAGGCTAGGAAAATTTCGACGCGGCCAATAGGGCCGTGGTAGCATAATGGTCAGTGCATTCGCCCGGATTGCGGAGGGTGCGGGTTCGAGTCCCGTCCGCTGCCTGGTCCGCGTGGATTTTTTTCTAGTAAACTTTTCTTTAGATTTAAATTTACTTTACTTATTATTATGTTTAAACAATACAATAGGTCCTTGACAATACATAATAATTAGGCCACTTTACCACTCCAATAGCTTAATTTGGTTACACATAGTTAACATACTAGATATAAAATAACAATTTCATCAAAATTTACAATTATTTACTACGTGTTTGATGCGACATTAACTATAGCCAAATTCAATCATGCCCCAAACATTTATAATAGGGATGATGACTATTTTTTTTTTCTTCGTTTTCAGGTAGATTATGAATATGATTATAAATATTGGACACGTTTTTTACATTACATAAACATTACAGAGATATAGTGATTTGAAAAGTCGCATGACGTCACGTTTGAGTACACTTTTAAGTGAAAATTCACTAAAAAGTGACGTCACGAGCCCCTACTCCCAAACTTTGACGCGCTATAACTTTGTCACTTTTTGGTTGATTGCCCAAAGAAAAAATACGTGTCCATTATTTTTTGATCATCTAACTGACGGAATAAATAGAATTTCGTTTACTGTACCCCGTCATCACCCCTTTTACTGTACCAGCTATCTTCGCATTTGGACTACATCACCACTTAACATCAGGTGGGGTAGAGTCATTTGCCTACCTAACTATATATAAAAAAACGACTCGGCCCCAATTATTGCTGAGTCTCCTGCCGGTTCTTCTCAGTACAAGATCTCCCGCCATAGCGAATCGATGGCGTAATTTATCTACCTCCACGAGCTCTTTCAACAATCTAGACTGAGAGAGAGAAAGAGAACCATTTAATTGACCATTAAAACACAAACATATACTTAGAAACTGCTCAAATAAAAAAAACATATATAAAAAGTAAGCATTACACACATTTATAAACCTAACAGCCATCATATTGGTCATCGTATGCTGCCGTGACATGTAACTAAACGTGTCACGACAACGCTGGTATTCTGACAGGGCCTGAATGGTGCACGGTGTTTCGGTGTACAAATAACAATATAATAATTTAATAAAGAATACTAATAGATTTATAATTAGGTAAATAGTGCTAAGTGCAAAAATGAACAGAATCTAATAAATATATATGTAACCCAGTATCATTAGCTGTGTTATGTTATTCTGTCTGAATGAATGATTCTTAAATCTTAAGAATATTGGTGCAAGTGGCCGACAGTGACACAAACATGTGATAAGTCTTCACTGGTACCTACTTTAACTAGGGCCTGCACGATTTTCTTTCCTCGAACAGTAACGGGAGCCCTCCCTTTATGCTTTGCACTATTCCGGAGGCTGGGTTGACCTTCGGATGGCGCACCGTCTGCGGCGCCGGTCGCACCGAGAAGCGCGACAACACCGCCGCCAGTCCCGCCAACGACTGCATGTGCCCCAACCGCTCACCTGAAACCAATATCGTCACTAATCAAGGGTGGACTACCCTTAACAGTACCCTTAGTACGAATTTGTGCTCACAAAAACTATCATAGTTTTCGTAATTGTAAATTATGTTTCTATGTCCATTTTGGTGAAATGTGTCCAAATGTACTTAAAATTTAAGAAGACACAAATTATGATTTTATTTATTTTTTAAGCATTTAACTGCTAGATGTTTAAATCTAAAGAGTATTCATTTGACATTGTGGGTTACCTACAATGCGAAGAGATGGCGCTGCCTTGCAGCTTAAGGCTAGGAAAATTTCGACGCGGCTAATAGGGCCGTGGTAGCATAATGGTCAGTGCATTCGCCCGGATAGCGAAGGATGCGGGTTCGAGTCCCGTCCGCTGCCTGGTCCGCGTGGATTTTTTTCTAGTAAACCTTTCTTTAGATTTAAACATCTAGCAGTTAAATGCTTAAAAAATAAATAAAATCATAACTATAATTGCTATTTCTTCTTTCAAATGTTTAATACTTGAAAAAGTATTCATTTGACATTGTGGGTTACCTACAATGCGAAGAGATGGCGCTGCCTTGCAGCTTAAGGCTAGGAAAATTTCGACGCGGCTAAAAGGGCCGTGGTAGCATAATGGTCAGTGCATTCGCCCGGATAGCGAAGGATGCGGGTTCGAGTCCCGTCCGCTGCCTGGTCCGCGTGGATTTTTTTTTCTAGCAAACCTTTCTTAAGACACAAATTATTTAATGATAGAATGTAAACACTGTTTATTTGTATTGAAACGAAAACAATAAAATCAACGAGTGCGAGCTCACGAAAACTATCATAGTTTTCGTAATTGTATAACTCGTACTAAGGGTTCAGATGAAGAGTTGGAGGGCGTGGGTGGTTAGCGAGTTCGTGTAGAATTTAAGCCCCTTTCTCAATGTCCCGACAAATCATCATCAGAATCATCGAAGTAGTTCTCAGAGCTGTCCGAAGTTATTATATATTAGTCTGATGCCGCAATTACATTTAGTCGTTAGCCTGAATTCGGGTGCACGAAAGACATTACCCGAGTTAGGGCACTCGAAGCAATATATACACTAGAATACGTGCTGGAACAAGGTGTCGGGTACAGAAAAGGAAATTTACCCGATTACGGGCGTATTCGAGATGCATGTCGAAAATCGACCATGATTGAAAGTCCCACACGTCACGATGTTAGTTACCTATCTGTAACGTGGGACAGGTTTTTCTGCTAACTCTTCACTCTCACAGTGGTTATCCGAGGAAGCAAAAATGTACATATTATACTTACGGCAATATGACCCGCGGCCATGTTTGTCCAGACATTGAAAATCAATAAAATAGTTTTCTAATGACAACAATTACAAATAGAATTGTTATTGTTTAGTGGATTACAGGGCTTGTTTACCGGTTAATTTTCAAACCCAAATCAGTATCAAGTACATTAGGAGCGTTTTATTTAGGTTTGGCTCTACCTTAACCTTAAAAAAACCGGTTTTCCTAAAAAGCGAAATCAAATAGGTGAATCAATTTAGCGGTTTTTAAAGGGTTTCATTTCGCTCATACTGACGGCATCGCCTTCGCCGTTTCAATTCTAATTTATAATGATTTTATGTCAGTTTCTTTCCAACTACAGAGCGAGTGAGTGAAGTAGTGTGTCAGTACACAACTACAAAATGAATAACTTGATTCACTAGACGCTAGCAAACGTGTCAATAAATGCATCAATCTCTGACCATTAACAAGTTGTGACTTGATTAGTTAAAACAAAATTAACTTCAAGGAATGCCGACGCGTGTACGTGTCGCTATGGATCAAACCGGTTTATTAAGGTTTTAGGTACCGCTTTCATTTTGGACTCGCTCCGAACGAAACCTTTACTAGAAACCGGTATTAACCTTTATTTACCGGTATTTTCAAAACCGGTTACAAGCTCTGGTGGATTATTTTATTTGTATACGCTTGCTTGAATATTTAAAGTTTGATTCATAAATGTAGCCTTAGAAATAAGTAATAAGAAATAATTGTCATTGCTGTTATAATAAATGTGATTGAGTTGATAAATGGTGTTTTAAACGCAATGCAGAAAGCTTTGTATAATTCTTGTTTCGAACAAGAATAATAACATTCTAGTTTCAAATAAATAAAGAAAAAAGATTTTCTTTTATCAACTGTATTTTCTAATATAATTGATAAAAATTAACCTGTTTTGAAAATATTTCCACTGTTTAATTAAGTAATTCTGAGCAATGTTTGATCAACTGTTAGTACACAAGTAGAAATTTGATCCTCGGTTAGTTAATTAGAACAGACATGTTTGAATATTTTCATAGCTTTGTTTTGTGACTTACCGATACAAGCACGTGGTCCAACACCAAATGGCAAATAAATATTTTTGATAGTGCTATCTGAGACAGCAGGGTCAAATCGCTCCGGTCGGAATTCCTGGGGGTTATCAAAGTACTGCGGGTCCATATGGAGCGCGCACAGAGGCACGAACACACGCACGCCCGGGTCGATCGTCAAGTCTATCTTCGGGAACGTGTATTTCTTTGCACACTTCCTTATTAGAAACCCGAGCGAAGGGAACATCCTCATGGCTTCTTTGAAAGTCCAATCCAAATATGTCATTTCTTGGATCGCATCATAACTAAGTTTATTATTGTGTTTAGCGAGCACTCTGTCAATATCTTCCTGTACTTTCTCCTGTACTTCCGGATTAAAGGCTAGCTGATGTAAAGTGTAACTGGTGGCTGACGATGAAGTCTCGAAACCAGCAGCGAAGAAAACAAACACTTGTGCAGCCATAAGTGCTTCGTCCAGCACAGCCGATGCCACTTCCGGACTGCCATCCTGTTTAAATTTCTCTATAGACTCTCCTTTCAGTATTCCTTTATTTCTGCATTCAATTAGGAGATCGATAAAATCATTCCTTGCAGATGGTTGATAATTTCTCTGTTTTAAAATTGCTTTTACTAGATCAGTCAATTCATGTTCCACCGCCCCTAATTGCTTAAAGCTCTTAAATAGCCCTGGGAAAAGATCTTTCAAATAAATTACAATAGCGTCTCTGAATGTTATTGTAAAAATTTTAACACCCAGTTTTCTGAAGTCGGATTCCTCATCGTTGAGCGAGTCTGCGTCGAGGCCGAACCCACAAGCGCCGATGAAGTCGGTGGTATAACGGGCCATGAGCTCGCGTGCATCCATACTGCGGCCCTCGGCAGCAGCGTTGGCTGTCCTGGTTTGTAGTTTCTCAGCACGCTCCACTATAAGTGGGAACATGGCACGCAGCTTGCCGCTCGTGAACGCAGGCGTCATCCGCTGCCTCAGCAACCGCCACAGGTCGCCGTCCACGAAGAAAAGGTTCTTCATCATCGGTTCGACCACATCTTCGTTTGTGATCAGACCACGCCCGTAAAAATATAAAAAGTCCGTAGTCAACACTTGTTTGATGAGATCAGGATCCCTTAACACTAGACAGATGGTGTTAGACCTGTACGCTCCGACGACTTTTTCCGCGGGATATTTCCAGTAATATTCGGCGAGCAATTCTGTGAAACTCTTACGGAGTAAATAGTTTCTGGTGTTTGTGCCGAATAGGAAGACTGGTTTGTCATGTTTCACTCCTTTGTCCTTCCAGTAGTTGTGATTTTTGGTGCCGTGTATGTACAATACTACGAGCGCGACTAATAAAAGCGCGATAAATATCATGGCCGTTGTGCAACGGAAGCAAGCGAGGCCGCGATACTGAGTGCCTCAGTTAAGATCACTACTGGTTTATTGTCATTCCGCGCATTAGCAGTATATACTTTGAAGCGGAGATGTTTAGTTGTTTTTTTTTTATTAACGGCCGGCGTCAAATCAAACTCTTTACTAGAAGAAATTTAAGTGTTATGGGATACTAGGGTAACGGATAAAATACATATGCCGATACACATATAAGTATATTTATGTAGAAATACAAAAACATTCATGACTGGAGTATAAATGTTCGTATTGATCACACAAACATCTGCGCCCACCGGGATTCGAACTCGAGACCTCCCGAGTATGCGTCACCTTGAAATCCGGCGTACAAACTACTCGGCCACGGGGGTCCAAAAACTTACTATCTCGAGCTGCTCAGTGCTTCGGAAGGCACGTTAAACCTTTGCTCCTGGCTGCCAGCAGTCAGCTCCCACCAATCCGCACTGGGCCCGCTAGGCCAGTCATTAAAGCCTTAACTAATTAAAGCCTAAACCCGGAAATAATTAGTATTTTGCTGAAATTTTGAGGGTTTTCGTAAAAAGGTAAAAAAAATTAGCGGGTGATTTTGCAGCGTTCTGAGGTATACGGAAAGGGTTGAAAAGGGGTGAAAAGTGTTTTTTGTTAGTAAAAATGCCAAAAGAATTTGTAACACGCTGCAAATTTAGAATAAGGTTGTTTTTACCGTTTTCTAACGTGTATTAAATTTGCAGCGTTTTGCAATATACGGAACATTGTTTATTATTAAAAAAAATGGGTGCGTGTACTTATGTAGGCGCGTGAGAAGTTATCCTTCTTTGGCATCGTTTAAAATTAGTTTTTAATTGCATGCAAATAATAAATAACAATAAATTAATAAAAAGTCTGGAAAAGGACACAGTCAATAAAGTTCAGTTTTAATTTGAAAAAATAAATAAATAATCAAAATATTCAATTAAAATCGCTACTGAATATAATTTATTAGAACATATGTGATTTGCACTTGTATGAAACTCAAACACGTATTCCGAATATACAAACTAGAAACATGTGGATAAATATTATAAATATGAATACCTATAATTGTTACTTTATTGAAAAAAATAAAGATGTGGTTTTTGGTTCTACTACACCAATGGTCAAGAGATGGCGCTGTAGTCTCCTGAATCGCGCTTTGGTTCCGTTGTTCCAGATTAATAAATACTTTTTGTTACTTTATTACAAAAAATAAAGATGAGGTTTTTGGTTCTACTACACCAATGGTCAAGAGATGGCGCTGTAGTCTCCTGAATCGCGCTTTGGTTCCGTTGTTCCAGATTAATAAATACTTTTGATAGGCCTTCACAATGCAGTCGTTAGCACCCACAAAATAGAGCTTCTATTTCTATTTCGTTGGTAGATTTTCTTAATGTGCGGTAAACACAAAAGTAACAGCATGAAGTTGGTCGCTAAAGCCAACCAACTTCATGCTGTTAATTTTTTGTGTTACAGTGATGCGCGCGTCTTAAAATTTCACTCTCATCATTTTTTCATAACGCGCCTAAAGAAGTATAACTTCAAAAACAATGAAATTTGTTAATAACAAGGGTAAAAAAATTAGTAACACGCTGCAAATTTGGAATTAAGTTACACGTTAGAAAACGGTAAAAACAACCTTATTCTAAATTTGTAGCATGTTACTAATTTTTTTGGCAATTTTATTAACAAAAAACACTTTTCACCCCTTTTCAACCCTTTCCGTACACCCCAGAATGCTGCAAAATCACCCGGTAAGTTATTTTACCTTCTTTCGAAAACCCTCAAATTTTCAGCAAGTTACTAATTATTTCCGGGTTTAAGGCTTTAATGACTGGCCTAATCTCCCTATTCCATCCATAGGGAAGGCCTGTACCCCAGCAGTGGGAACATTAATAGGCTGATGATGATGATACTAACATGTTTTATTTAACTAGTATGACTGCGGTTTTAATCTTATCTGCTTTACAGCCAGTATCTTAATTTATCGAAAGTCATTGTTCTTTTATTATTGTTATCATTAATTATATAGAAGCAAACACGATAGCGAAACGATGACGGAAAAGTCTGCAATTATGAAGGTTAATTAGATAATTTAGTTATTTATCCTAATATGTGGTATATTCTTCTACTTCTTCAAAAAACCTTAGTTAAAATATACATACATCATTTCCAGCTTCTCAAAAAACCTTAGTTAAAATATACATACATCATTTCTAGCTTCTCAAAAAACCTTAGTTAAAATATACATACATCATTTCTAGCTTCTCAAAAAACCTTAGTTAAAATATACATACATCATTTCCAGCTTCTCAAAAAACCTTAGTTAAAATATACATACATCATTTCTAGCTTCTCAAAAAACCTTAGTTAAAATATACATACATCATTTCTAGCTTCTCAAAAAAACCTTAGTTAAAATATACATACATCATTTCTAGCTTCTCAAAAAACCTTAGTTAAAATATCCATACATCATTTCTAGCTTCTCAAAAAACCTTAGTTAAAATATACATACATCATTTCTAGCTTCTCAAAAAACCTTAGTTAAAATATACATACATCATTTCTAGCTTCTCAAAAAACCTTAGTTAAAATATACATACATCATTTCTAGCTTCTCAAAAAACCTTAGTTAAAATATACATACATCATTTCTAGCTTCTCAAAAAACCTTAGTTAAAATATACATACATCATTTCTAGCTTCTCAAAAAACCTTAGTTAAAATATACATACATCATTTCTAGCTTCTCAAAAAACCTTAGTTAAAATATACATACATCATTATTATGTAGGCCCGTGTCCTAGATACCAGGACCTTTAAGAGGTTGCTTTAATTCATACTTACTAATATAACAAATGTGAAAGTATGTCCATCTTTCTATTACTTACCACTTCATACTTAAACAGCTGGACCAATTTGGGTGAATTATAGTTTAAAAATTCGAATCTTTCTGTTCTGCCCGGATAGACCCGGTGAGCGGAATATGCGGCTTCGAATGTTACGCCTAACTTCTTTTCAGAAACGCAAATTGGTTTAACACTGTTAAATCGACGGACATGTTAGTTGAATAATAATTTAGCAAACCTCACAGTAACCGGAAATAACTTTTATATTATAGATGTTTTTCTAAAAAACTAAACATTCTCCAGATTGTTTTACAATAATCCTTTTGTGTGGTGCAATCTGTTGCACGGTTCCCAACTTAGGGGTTTTGCCCCCAGATTTAGGGGCTAGAAGGGTTAAAACGGACTTTTTTAGGGGCTGGAACTTTTTGGGGGTTTTTTAGGGGCTTTTAACAAAACTTGCAATTAAATCGAAAAACAAAGCGTGTGTTTTGTGCGTAGAATGGAACGCACCACGATATGAAACGACTGAACTCACTGTGTGGCAGGTTGTTTCCTAAGGCTGTATGGACTAAAGTTCTTTGCCCCCCACCAAATCAAAACAGCTAAATAAGATTTAACAGCCTGTCAGCTCATTTTCGTTTGATTTTCCATTCGGAAAATGTATTTATTCAATAAAATAATTTACTGTAACTAAATATGTAACGTTTTAATTTATAAGCAACGAAAGAATTTAGGTAATAAGATAAGTAGGTATATATAACTTTCTATATTTAGGGGATTTTAGGGGAATTTAAAAAATATTTAGGGTAAAATTTTGGTAAGGGTTGGTAACACTGATCTGTTGTCATCTTAGGACGAATATTTGGCTTATGGGCTTATCTTATGTTTCGACGTAAGGGAGATTTCATGAACGTAATCCGCGGAAAGCGGCTTATAATAATTACTTCACTCATCTACCTCTCCAAACAACATGAGGTAATTTGAAAAATTAATATAGTTTTTCAATCGTATATCGTAGGTTATTTTAAAGTTAATAGCATATTAAGATGCTTCAAGTTAATTTTATTTTATTTTGTTGAAGTCAGTGTTGCCACCTTGGATTTTTTTAAGGCGCCAAGTCAAAGGTAAATAATCGCCAGATTTCAAAAATTTGGATTTAATAAAATACACCAAAATCCGCTAAATTACAATTACATCTCTGATAACAAAAAACCCTAATTTAAATAAAAAACTAGTGAATATGTATGAGATGCTACAGAAATAACTGTGAGTAACCACATAGAACATTATGAAATATCGGAAAGTTAGGGCATTTCCCCCTTAAAAATATGTTGCTAGATTTCATGTTAAAAAACCACTAAAAAAATTTACCCACTAGATGATGATATATTAAGTAGTTACGAGTATGTGCAAACGATTAAATATTGTTTTGTTTTATAACATAATACTAAGTAAGGTATTTCTCTCTTTTTCTTATAATACTGTATTGTAGATTTACTGGTTATGCATGTATTTTAAGAAATAATAAATATTATTATTATTACTTACAAACCAGTAAACCAAATGTTCACCAAACCTTATTTAAAAAAAATGTATTTAATTAATTGAGAACTTCGGAGATTTTGTGTGGTTTCGTTTGAAATTCGTGATTTCTCGAAAACTGGAAGTGCTACGTTACTCAAATCCGGTTTGTAGTCTTATCAGACTATTCTTAACTTATAACTTAAATATTCTCTTTATCTATCTCTTACGGTTTGGCCGCTGAAACATCACCACATACAGACGGGCGGACGGACTTGTCTAATAGATAAGAGATTTGTTGAGTGTTTTTCTTCTCAGCTCTTTGGCTGGTTTTTACTACGATTACGGGCCGAAACCAAGTAAGTGCAGCATGACAATGTGTTGTGTTAGTTTATGTTGTACTGTTGTGATGAAAACCTATTTCGTTTTCATCTATTTGCAAGAACTTTCTAACAATGCGACATGTATTTAAAATTGCAGCTTTTTGGAGGATGATATAGAGGGTTTCTTTTAGGTTTATTAATTTAAGGCTATGGAAAAGGTGATTTGGAATGACGCCTGTTGTGGAGAGGACTATAGGGACCACGTAAACTTTTGTAA